GAGCTCTCCTATCAGTTTTTTTTGTGTGGGGGGGGGGGGGTGTGTCAAGGTTATCCACTACCTTGGACTGAAGTGCTTGGAGTTGCTACGAGAGCTGATGCTACAGTCACATCAGACAGCCCTAACTTAGAAAGATAAACAACATTCCCTTCCCTGCTGCTGAAGCAACAGACGCCCACCTGATGGAAGAAGTAGGTGACCGCAAGGTCATTGTCGTTCAAGAGGACCTCCTCTTCGGTGGTGAACAGCCATTTCCGGATAGTCAGGCATGTCCCCGGCACCGCCGAAGTATAGTTCTGCACGTAGAGTTTGTGAGGGAATTCGTTGGGCGCCAACTTACGCACTGCAGGGTAGACAGGGAGGGGAGTGAGCTCTCTGCTCCAGGTGTACAGCACCTTGCACAATAAGCACCTACCCAGGGCTGGGGCTCCCAGGCACTTCCATAATACAAACGATTACACATTGCCAAGGAACGGACATGGCCTGAGCTTAGGCTGAAAAGCCAAGGCAGGACACAGCCGTGCCTGTTTTCAAGACCCTTCCTCCCTACACCCAACTTTTTCCACCACCTGTCTCCAACACGTTCGGACTAGACCAGGTTTGCTATCTGTAAACTCACATCAACATACAATGGGCAAGAGGAATGTGCTTGAAACCAGAACCCGCCCAGACGCTTGGCCTGCTGTATGGGGAAGGCTGCTCCCAGCTGCTGCATGTCAAGAGAAAAGCGGCTCCATTAGGCCGGGCTTCAGCTGAAACCATCTAAATGCAGCAGAGTAAGACCGTCTCCATCAGATGGGACTTGATTTCACTCATCACTAAGCATAGAGAGCGCTGCCTCCCTACTTATCCTGTGTCTTTGAGCATTCAAACTTGAGAGGACAACATTTTGACCTACGGAGATGGACACAGTGGAAGCTAAAACACTATGATTGTTATGGCCCATTGTCTAAGCCTTTTCAAGCAGCACACAAACACTTTAATACACACTCTTGAGGGCAGCTCTAAAATGCTCCCCAGTGAAAGGAGTCTCTCACATGCTGCCCTGGCAGGTTGCCATCAGGACCAGAACAAAGCCTGTTGCAGTGGTCAGCAGAGTCAAAGGAGCTGCCTTCAGGCTGTCCAAGCTCAGCTCTGCAGGGCACCCACTAAAGCACCTGCAGTGAGTTGGCTGCATCAGAAAACTGCCTTGCTAAACAATGAGGGAGAAAAAACAGCATGAGTGAGTCTGACCCACTCCAGTAACCTTCCTGCCCCACATTCAGGTAGCAGCATTGGTTCATCACACATGGAGTTCAGCAGCATTCAGGGAATTGAACGGGATGCATACAAATAGGAAGGGGTTATTCAAGGAGAGCACTGTCAGTGCGCCAGCCAAAGGTTAACAACAGCGCTTTCCTCTCTGCTGCAGTTCGGGGAGCGTGGCACCCACAGAAATGAGGAATTAATAGCAGGCTCCAGTAAAGGTGAGTTTCCTGCAGGAAACTCTGCCAGGGCATAGCAAGCCTGACCTCCCAGGTGCTAGCTACTCCAGATCTGAGCTTGTTACGCAGCTCTGCCTGCACCCTTCAGCCCTGTCCCAAAGCGCACACAGCTAATTCCAACCAGGGGCTCAGTGATGCCCATCAACCCCGTCTTGTCATCTTGACACCGAGCACCTCCGGGAAAGCAACGATCAACTCCATGGCCGTATTCAATGAGGAAACTATACTAGAGAGATGAACAACTTAACTCCAACTACACAGAGTCAAAGCCTGACTACAAACCCTTCTGAATGCAAAAGCAAGCTGAAACCAGTTGCTAGATGCCATATTGTCTTGCATACCATATGCGCCTTCTCCCCCTCCCCAAAAAACTACTGCTTGAAACGGTAGTGCACTTATAAGTGAGTAGATACAGTAACAACAGTTTCTGCTGCTTTACCTTCTGCTGAATAAAAGTAAAAGTAACTGTGTGTACAGGAAGTGAAACAAGGGGCAGACTAAGTCCCCTCCCTGTTGCTACTCAAGTTATTTACTACAAGGAAAGATTTTTTTGTTTCTCGATTCTGCCTTTCAAAAACAAGCTGGGATCTGGGGTGTACTGCACTTGAAAATATATGGTATTTGTCCATATTGCCCAATCAGCAGCACAGCGAAAGCCACTAGGACGAAAGCCAGCCCACCAGTCATGGCACATGGCTGGGGACCAGGACAACTGCTAGGCTCAGAGAAAAGCTAGTGCATTTACTTGCTCGCTGAACTTAAAGTGACTGACTGATTTCCTTCTGCTTCCGTAAAGGCGCTGTGAACCTGACTGTAAAACAGAGGCCTCTGCCTCTGATTTGAGGGCTTGCCTATGGCACACAGTGTATGCTGGCTGGCAGGCACAGTACCATGGTCTAAAACCAGAAACCATCAGGGATCTCAGCCTTCAACTGAGGTCAACCAAGACATCCACTCAGCTTCTAAGGAGGCGGTCAGGGTCTGGCAGTCATGAACAATCATTACAGATCCCGTGATACTTTCTACGAGAGTGCAAGTCTGCCACAGTGCCCTCAAGGGAAGCTTTGTGTCATTGCCGACTACATGAGATGCAGTTTGCTGCTGCCCCACTGCAGAGGTAGCTGTATTCCAGTGCCCTGCACATGGGAATCCTTCAGTCTAAGGGCATGCCTTAGTTTTTCACAAGCCCATCTTCCTGAATGGCTTAAGAAGAAAAGCAAAGCTGAGCATTACCAGAAGCAAAAACCTCAATCAGACTTGAAGGACTCCTCATTAGCAGCTTCCTGTGCTTGGCTGGTTTCCCCAGGGGGCTTCAGATCCTGAGCGAGCCGATAAGATCTCAGTAAGAGTGCCAGCAGGTGCGGCCACTGCACAATTTGCCTAGTTGGCTGTCAGCAGCAAGGGGATTAAGAGACTTACCAAAGGAGTGATTGATCACTTCGAACAAGGCAAAGTAGTTGGCTGTGATACTGTCCATTCCAACCTTCGCAGCCACGGCCTAAAATGCAAGCAACCCAGAAACCCAGTCAGCAACATCAGAGCCAGCGTTCATTCAGCTGGGGCCAGTCTCTGATCCCATGGATGAGTCACCATGAAAAAGCTGAAAGCTATTCCTGCAGGGTCCTGTTCCATATGCAACCAGCTTCTGCTCTTCCCTGCCTCTAAACTGCCCCAGATTTTAAAGATTGCCGCTGCAAACAATTAGGTCATTTTTTCTCCTGATGCATCAAATTTCAGTTCTTAATATGAGGCACGTGCGCTCCTCCCCAAGGAGCTTTACCAACAGCACTTCAGCCTAGTATGCTGACGGGGCGGCAGCGAAGTGGAACCTCACTGGAGGAGCCATGCAATTCAATAGGCTGTCCCCCAACTGCATTAAGAGCTTGATCCATAAGTAAGCGTTACCTGTGCAGATCTACACTGCCCGAGGTGCTGCTCTCATGTAAACCTCTCCCCTGTCCCCCTTGCTGCAGTAATCTGTTTGTGAATGTTTCCTTCTGAAGCTCCCCACTCATTCTACGTGCTTGCATTCTCAGTTACTTGCTGGCTGCTTTCGATTGTGTCCACTCCCCACTTCAGAACCAAACTCTTGCCTTTCTCAGAGGCATTGGGTGTTGGCTACAGCCCGGGCTGGGGACTTTCACTGTGCTGTGCCAATACACCTGCAGGGACCAAAGCTGGAGGGTCCTACCTAGAATGTCTTGCCCTGCCGCTCAGAGTCAGACTGACACCAGATTTGAAGTCAGGAAGGAATTTTCCCTCATAATCAGATTGGTATGGACTGAAGGGGCAGGGGAAGTTGCCTTCCTCTGTAGCAGGGGGCATGGCCCTCTCTACCAGAGACCTCTTGAGCTTACACTGATAACATTTCATAGAAGCAGGAAGCTGGCACTGTGGTTCCCCTGCTTTCCCTATGACAGGTTTGGGTGTGATGTCTGTGTTATGTCAGGGTGATGGTAATCTTATGTAGATTTTAGATTATGGATTGTACAGGATGGTTCGGACAGGGTTGATCCTGCCTCAGGCATGAGGGTGGACTAGATGACCTCTGGAGATCCCTTCCAACCCTATTTTTCTAAGATACTATGATTGCAACCCAGGAGACCTTCTCAGCCAGTAAGTCCATTGAGATCCCAATGGCCCAAGAGGTTCAAATGGCTTTGATGGGACTGGGCAGGGGGCTTAACAGCTCCATGAACCAGGCCTTAAGCCTATCAGTGTGACCACAAGACAGCTAAATAATGCTAATTGTTTGCATCTGGAACCACGACTAAAGGCTCTGCCCTGCCAGACAGCCACAGCACAGCTGCTACAGGGGGTCTGAAAGTGTTCATTGTCTGCACAGTCCCTTCCCTGCAGACACTGCAGCCCTCAGCTAGAAATTGTCTGGTGTTTGGAGAAACCATCCTCCAGCTTGAAGATTGTATCAGTGGAAATTAATTCAGAGATGACTCTGCCCTTGCAGCAGAGGCTGCCAAGGAAAGTGCCGTTTCAGCAAGACGTGAGGTTGGTCGCTGTGTTACTGAGGAGAGGTTCCCACCCACCTCAATGAACAGGGAGAGAATGCCCACCTCTCCATGACGTGCCTAGAGTAGGGGAGAGGATTGACAGGGCTCACACCTCAGTGCCTTACCTGGTACACCTGGTCCGTGGTGCTGTTCTTTTTGACCCTAACCGTCACTGTGGTGATGTCTGGTAGTGCTACTCGGAGCTCCACGTCTGATACGCCATTGTAATTCTGGGGAGAGAAAGAAAAAAAGCATGCAGGTCAGCATAGCAAGGGGCAGTCAGCTGGGATCTCACAGCTGTGAAAGGGACCTGGGGCAGATTCAAGGAGCATGTGGCTACACCCCTCTTTGGCTGTGTTCCACGTGTGAGCTCTTGGTGTGGGGTCTGGCTGGAGCCACCATTTTCACATGACTCCAGCACCCAGCAGGGTAAGCTTGTCCCACCCTGTCCCCTGCCACTGAATTCAGTTGGGAGGGAGAGGATGAAGAGCAGAAGCATTCATCCCCTGGGTTCCAGGGCCACGGGAAAATGGTAGCTCTGGCCAGAGCCTGCCTGGATCATTTGAAAAGCTCACTGCTCATGGCAGCTCAGGCTGGATCCCGTACTGACCACGCAGTGAGCTCAGAGCTCCTTATGCAAGCAGGCAACAGCCAAAGGGGGCTGAGGCCATACCCACCTTGCCCCATTCCTGAATCCACTACTGCCCGCTGGAGTCAGGGGGACGGTCGTAAGAAGGAGCGACCTTAGAGAGAGATTCTATCCTGGAAATGGTTCTACATATGTACACTCCACTGCTTCAAACCAAGTGTGCAGAGTTCGCAGGAAGGTTTTTCTAATAGCTGTTCTGCATCAGAGACTTCATATAGGCTCCACAGCCACTCAGCTCAGCCTTATCTGGGACATATTACTATCATTTGCTGGTTGGCACATGGGGCCAGGAATGAGTTTTTTCCCTTTCTCTTGCTACAGGTGTCAGGGAAGGAGTTTTGCCTTCTTCAGAAGCATTGGGTGTTGGCTGCAGCCAAGGCTGGGGATTTTGATGGGGGTGTGTCATTGCTCCTGCCTAGACTCAAACCTGGAAGTTCTTGGTTAGAGGGTCTTGCCCCTCCACTGGGGGTTAAATTGATCACTACACTGGGGGACAGGAGAGGATTTTACCCACGGTCAGGCGTACGAACTGTGAAGGGTTGTGCCTCCCTTTGTAGTGGGGGGCACAGTCTCTGCCTTGGATCCCTTAAGGGTATTTTACACCCCCCACAACAGCAGGACACTGAATGCTGTTGTCCCCTGCCTTACCTCTGGCAGGTTAGGGTGTGATGCCTTGCACAGTAGGGTTGATCGTGTAGTTTTAGGAATAGGATAGACAAAGACTTGTCTGGGATGGTTTGAACAGGGCTGATCCTGCTTCGATCTGGGGGCTAAACTAGATAACCTCCAGAGGGCCCTGTCAGCCCAACTTTTCTATAATAACAACATCAGCACCCAACAGGCAGCAAGGTGCTTATACACCCACTCCCTGTGCAGGAGGGCAGTACCAGTATTCCTGTTGCACAAAAATTAAGGCACAGAGACAAGAAATTACTCAAGGGCATGTACAGAAGTCAGTGAAGGAGTAAGGGAATGAACAGAGATCACTCAAAAAGCCAGGCTGGCACCTTCACCACTCAAAGGACTCTGCAAAGCAAACTCTTACCTAAGTGACAAGTCCCCATCCCGTCCCGCCCCCCCAACCCGTTCCCACTCCAACCATGACATATTATTTTAAGTAGGGAAGCAGAGGTATAAGCAAGAGGAAATTCGGACCTTGAATGCACTTCTAATCTGACCTGGCTCCCCTGCTTAAAGCCGCAGAACTGAACAGCCAAACACTTTGAGCGTGGCTTTGAGAAACCCTCAGGATTTTGCTGAGTTAAGAGGAATCACTTTTTCTTCATGATTTTCCCGGGTAAGAACCAGTTCAAAACCAACCCCCTTTGCAGCCTGAACTGATTTCAGGCAACAACAGGAACAAGAACTCGGAAAAAAGGAAGGCAGCAAGTCAGCTGCTGCGGGATAGGAAGTAGATGGAACCACATCGGGTCACAAGTGGGTAGGATTTTTCATTCACCTCCACCAGCTCATTTATCAAGGATAAAGGAAAGCTTCTAGATGCAGACTACGAGGAGTCTGGAAAGGGAAAGCAACAGGCAGTGGGCAAACAGCTGTCTGCAATTCCTGTCTTGCAGTCAGAAGGAAACCATGCTGAGAGAAAATAGTCATGTTTATATAGGATCTGTAACCACCAAAGAGCGTGCTGCAAAGCACCAAAAGCTCGCAAACACAAAGCCACTTGCAGAGTCACAGGCAACGCTGAAGCCAACCATCTGAAATGTTTGTACCAACTCCATGCAACAAACACTGAGCTTTACAACTTCCCAAGAAGCTGGTGTCCAAAAGGCAAGGTCCACGATTAGCACATTTCTGGAGATCTGAACTCAGAAGACCGATGAGGTGGCTTTGATGGCAACGATGGAGATATGGTCTCTCCAATAGCCAGATGAGGATCAGGCTATTCTAAAGTCTCTGATGCAAGTTCATTCTTTGGTCATAAACTTTCTACTGAACTGGGCAGCATACTGTATTTTCTTGCACATAATATACTTCCCCCACCCAAAAAAACAGCTTCTGGCAATCCTAGTGTGCATTGTAAGCAAGGAGATACAGTAACAGTGGTTTTTGTCCCTCAGGGGACACGTGAAAGTTATCCACAGGGAGCAGAAGAGAGAGCAGGGTGGACTCCCTCACTGCTGCTACAAAGTAACTTGCTACAAAGATGTTTTTTCCTTCATTCTGCCTTTCCAAAATAAGCTGTGTATCATATATTGGGGAGTGTTGTGTGCAAGAAAATACAGCAGGTTAAGCAAACAATGATCTGGCTCCTCCTATGGTCACACTAAGTGTTTGTTTCCTTCATGGAGACTGACAGCTTGGAGGAAGTGTTATAACAAGAACCCCTAGGAAAAGCAGCACTGGATTAGCACTTCAGCATAGCTACTGCTTACCTACCTCGTCCGACTCCGACAAGAACTCCTGCATGATGTCGCTCTCGCCGATAACTCGTATTGAACATACTGCAGGACACAGAGAAAATGACGTTAGCAAGTCACCCTTGGAAACAGGCTAGGGTGTCTTTAACCACAGGGACTAGTTTGGATGGAAGTCAAGGTGTTGGGGAGGGGGCAATAACTCTCTGTCGCTGGTTGGAGACTTGAGCGTAATGAGCCTATAAAGGTGTTTCCAATGTGCCTATTAGGTTGCGTTAGATTTCCTGGTATACTCCTTACAAGAGGCAGCAAAAAGTGTGTGGAGGGCTAGGAAAGCTGCTCCCTGGGTACCAGGTAAAACCAGTATTTGCAGCAGAAAGCCAGTGCAAGGGCCATCCAGCATTTAGTGGAATGGGACAAAATACTTCTGACCAAAAGAAAATGCACCAAACACGCATCGTGCAGAGACTGGTGCCGTTTGCAGATCTGGGTCAAGTCCAGTCAAGAGCCTTAGACAAAACGATCCCCTCATTAGGGCAGAACTAACTTGCCTCATTTTTTCAAGTGTCACCAGGGAGGTGGGGGACCAGGAGGGTGATGGGAGGCTGTGCCGACATGAGCTATGTGTGGGGAGAGCAGAGCTTGCAACAGCCGTACCCGTTCTAGGCAGATTCTTTTTGCACATGTCCCCAAGCACAACCCAGGCCATTTCATCCAACACCACCGCCCAACTGCTTCCAGTAAAGCCCCCTGACAGGGGTGGGGAAGCTCCTTCCCAGTCCTCCTCAGCAGCATGCACGTAGCAGAATTTTTCATTGAAGACTCCATTCAGAGAAGCAAAGAGATTCAGGCCCCACTCCCAAGCACCTGAAACAACCCCAAGTGCAGCTGACCCCAGAGTTAAACCACAAAAAGCCCTGCTGAGAGGGAAGTACAGAGGAAACCAGGCCCAGGAACTGCAAAGCTCTTCCTTCCTCCCTGCATTACCAAGCCTCTTATCTCCTAGGTCTCTCTAGATAGCATCTTTGTGCTCATTGGCAACTAATACAATGCAATAAATAAAGGCCCTTCATGCATTAAAAACTAATTATACATTTTGTTATCCTAAGTGCTCTGCAAGCCAATAATCCACACCTCATTAAGTCAAGGCAAGTTTGCTTTTTTCCTGCGGCTTTTGTGTCATAAAAATCCAGCCCAGCTTCAAATGAGGCCCCACCCCTTTCTCTCTTTCTTGCAGGTGAATGCCAGTGCACCTTTTAGCACCAGCCTGGGAGGCTGTGCTTGCAATGACCCTCAGGAAGGAGCTCCCACATGCGTGAAAGCCAGTGGTTTCAACGAAGCACTGGGCCCAGAGTCCACCAGTCCCTTACCTTTCTCCAGGTACTCCTCCAGCCCCCGTCGCCTAGCATCCAGCTGCTGCTCTGATAACGAGAAAGGCCATTTCCCCGGCAGGCGCGGGAAGGTAAAGTTAGCAAACTCCCGCTTCAGGTTCTGATGCAGGATGGCGAACTCCCGATACCGCTTGGAGCACAGCTGCCTGCCTGCCATGTAAACGTTGTACACCTAGCAGGGACAGAAGGAGAGGGAAGTCCAGTGAGTGTAATAAAATCTAATCCCCACAAAGAACCACAGGCATACTGAGCCTGCAGCCAGCTCCTAATGCACATAGATCTCAACTGCTTCAGCCACCTCGCTGGTGCAAAGCTTGCCAATGAATTTAAAGGGGCCAGCAATGGAGATTGTTAACTTGCCACCCATTGCATCATTATTCAGCACATCAGAACCAGAGTGGGACTGAGAGACAGCTGGTTTCAGGAAACCTTCCAGCAGCCTCAGCCAGTTGTAGCAAGTGGGGTACAAGCGGGGCAACCACCCTGGGCGCCGAAGTGAAGGGACGCCAACAAGAGCTGCCCAGCCGGGGCAAGACACAGGACAGAGCTGTGGGCAAGCACAGGGAGAGACGTGTGCCCCCTGGATCTGTGCAGAGGGCGAGGGCAGGCTGCCGCTTTGGGCTTTGCCCTGGGCACCAAACTTCCTTGTCATGATACTGGCCAGCTACACAGCACAGAGGAAATGCATCCCTCTTCAGCAAAACATCCCAAGATGCTACACCGTCAACCCTGCCCACTTTGATAAAAGCTTGGATTCTTCAGTTTGGCAAGGCAGGAGGGAATTGCTAGAGGTCTACAAAATCATGAAGGGTGTGGACAAAGTGAATAGGGAACTGTTATTCACTGAATGCCAGCACATTAGAACTAGAAGGCACCTGCTGAAATGAGGAGACAGATTTAATATTAACAGGAGAAAGGACTTTTCTTAAGCAGCGAGTACTCAACTCATGGAACTCATTGTCACAGGAGGTTGGAGAGGCAGACAGTGTAGCCAGGTTCAGATCGGGACCGGACCAATTCATGGATGATAGATCTATTAACAGCTTATAAACAAAACAGTTAGGGGTGGCACTCTGAAACAATGAGGGTAGATGCCAGAGGAGATGGTACTATTGCTGTAACCTGGTTCAGTGCTTTTCCTCTAAAGCATCCACTCTTGCCACTGTCAGAGACAGGATACTGGACCATTGGTCAGACCCAGTATGGCTCCACTTATGTTCTTAGGACAGCAAAAGGTGGGAGCAGGAGGTTTCAAGGGAAGTTTGAAGGCAGTGTGAATTTACCATCAAAGCAACTGATTGCTTCCATAGCCCATAAACATGCCACATGCACTGAACAAACATGAAGCTAGGGGCAAACCTCCAGTTCGCTACAGGATTCAGCATCAGACCAAGGAAAGCCAAGGCCTACCTGCAAAGCTGAGCTCCAGAACGCACAGGACTTTGGATAAACCAGCCTAAACATTTCTCCATGGCACAGAGACAGGTTATAAATCAAGGACTTGCCTGGTGAGAGCCACTTGCAGCTCCCAGGAAAGCCAGGGCAGGGAGACAACGAAGTGGGGGTGGGGTGTTAATCAGGGTACCTTTAGGCAATACAGAGCATAGCAGATAAGGCCTTCCCTGCTAAGCAGTCAGTCAGTCAGTCAGTCAATTTCCCAATCTTGAACTCAATCACTTTCAGTCCCCCCCTTGCTACTTACTGAAGCTCTTATCAGCTTGGCAAAGATCTACATACTGCTCATGTGTCTCTGGTAATAAAACATCACCAAACATGGGTATTGCCTCTCTCCAGCACATCTTTTCTTTAAAGAAACAGCTGCTTTGCTGCTGAGCAAGAGAAATTTATACAACATCTGCCATCTCTCTGGGGTTAGACCTCATTTGCACTTCCAGTACCGGAAGGGCTGGTGGGTCACAGAAGCAAAGGACTTCAAAGGCAGGGGAGCTACACGCAGGGAGCCTTCCACAGCTCTTGGGATGCTAACACTAAGCCTAATTTCCTTCCAAGGTCAGCAGCTGGAATAGGAGGGCACAGACAATCCCAATCAGGCCTCAGCACTGAATACCTGAGCAATCGCCTCCAAAAAGGGGGTGCTTTTTCAAAGCAAAGCCCTTCCTTTAAAAAAAAATTAGAGCGTGTATTCAGTCCTTCTGACAGGGCATGACATGATGTTGGAGGACTCTGGCAGCGGCAGGGGAACACGAAGTGAACAGAGCAGCAACTGCTATCTTGGGTCCAGTCAGGGGCAGGAAAGAACCAGGCAGGGGCAACACAAGGCTGCATTTCATTCCAGACGGATTCCCGGCCTCCCGGCAGGCACCTCCAACTGCTGCGAGATTCTTTTTTGAACTGGAGGTCATGTCTGTTACTCTTGGCCTTTGTCCTTCGAGCGACCATAGAGCTTTGTCTCATCTGGACGGAAAGCGCAGAGGGTGCTCCCAGGTAATTGTGGGACTGTAAGCATTTGCAATACCCTGAATGGATCACACACAACCCCACCCCTGCTTCTGGAACAGTAGCTCTGGATCACATTCTCTATGGGAAAACACTTCCTTTCTGTATGCTGCAAGGGAAGAAGTGACAAACCAGGAGTTACTTCACCAGGTGCCAGCAGTTCCTTAATCTCCAAGCTGTGGCCAGGCTGTGCAGGAGGGGGCTGCACTGGCGAACGCTCAGCTTTCAGTCCAGCAAGTCAATCCCAAATCGGCCTAACCCAGCTCTGAAAATCCTCCTCCCCCTGCAGAAGAATCCTTGTATGCCCTGTCCACCACCAGACCAGGGCCACAACTGACCCTCCCTATGAAACAGAACAGTGAGAGCTGTTTCCTCTGGCATCTCAACACCAATGATGGCAAAAGTCAAGAAGAATAATGAACATGGGGACAGAGCACTCTAGATCAATGGATGGATGCTAGGCACCCCTCTCTGGACTTGAAGCAGCAAACTACAGCTTTTGTGAATGGAGTGGCACCAAAGTTCAATATCTAGTTTATATCTTACAGGGTTTAATTCCTTGCAGTGGAAGTGGCGGAATCTCAGGAAGGGACAAGCCTGACCTTGTCCTTATCTGTTTATCTCCACGCACCCTGACGCATCCTTCAAAGGATCTGGAGGCACCCTGGCTGAGAAATGCTACTCGAGATATACCCTGGCCATATGCTCTCCCTCTAAAGCAGGGTTGGCCAACCCATGACACATGGGGAGGGGGCTGGGGGGCAAGCAGGAGATGGGGCAGGAAGCACAGGGCAGAGCAGCAGATCAGGAAGGTGAAGAGGATCAGAGTGGCACTTGGAGAGGGTGCAGGGCTAATATGTGGAATGCCTGTCACAAATGCTGGCTTCCACTTCTCTAAAGCATCCACCTCTGCCACTGCCAGAAACAGGATAGCAAGCTAGATAGACCATTGGTCTGACCCAGTAGGGCACTTGTGTTCTTACGTACTGAACTCTTGACAATAAGTGGCTATTTGAGAAGGGAAGAATATCACACTTGTGGTTGGCTTCTGTCTCTAACAGGCTCTTATTGAAACCCAAGGCCAGCTGGAATTCCCTCGCCTTCGCTTTAAGATTCATCATTGATTCTTCTCTGGTGGTTCAGATCTAAAGGTCTGGGTACTCAAAGATGCAAACCACTGCAAAGGCTGACAGTGCTGGAGGGATGGAGAAGAGGGCACACACTATGTTTACAACAGGAGGAACTCAGGGAACATAACCACAGCAGCCAAACAAAATGGCCTAGGTGAAGCCTGGATACGTTACGTCACAAACATGCCCAAAACTCTGTGGGAACTTAGGAGACTTTAAGGGATGCAGTTCTTGCTGCTAACTTGCTTTTTCAGATCCTTCTCCCTGCTGCTTCCCAGTCATTATGCTACCCATTAGAGATCCCTCATTTCATATTCCAACGAATGCACACAGGAGTGTCAGACACAGACTGACCGAGCTCCAACCTGTCGTTCTTAAGACTACTAAAGCTGCATCTGAGGAGCAGGAATGGGTTTAGTCTCAACCCATCATGGAAGCACCAGAGTAACTGCTGTAATTCAGCAGCAATCTGGAAGTGGCCCATTCAAAAGCCTGGGATGGGAATAGGTGATGCTGCAGGCCAACACTGAAGATCATCAGCACAGTTCACAGAGGACCCACAGGCCCTGGCCAGGGTGTTTTGAACTTGTAGGGGAGGGGGTATATGGATAAAGCCCCTGGGGGAGCTCCATGACTGCAGCAAGAAAGAACTCAGGTGCACTAACAAAAGATGAGAGGGCCCCAGAGCTGGAGCAGCTAAGGCAGCTGAGGGCAAGGACTGATGCAGCCAAAGTTAGTAAGGTGGGAGCATAAGGGCATTAGCCATGCCTAAAGACAAGACTCGACAGACAAAGGGGGTTGATTGATGAGGGGTTGGGGGCTGCTTTTCCACGGCACTGCCCTGACTACAAGTGCCCTTTAAGAGATTCCCCACCCCCTGTACCCAAGCTCTCCCTGCTCCACCAACTTGGACTAAGCCACCTCAATCTCCTTTTAACCTCAGCAAATGCCACTGAGACATATCAGATTGAAGCATAGGTAGCCTGGCTGCAGAGGGAAGCCCCATATAATTGCAGCAGAGAATTGAGAGTAACGGGCTTCCCAACTGATTCGACCCAAGAACCCAACGATTAGTAACGTTAAACTGCGACCAAGACCCTGCTGGAATTTGCTCGATGACTAGAACAATCGCATTTATTTTGTATATGTAAAAAGAAAAGTGTGAGTGGGTCCCTATCAGCCAGACTTCAGTGGGGTTCCCCCCACCACTTCTGCATCTCTGCTAGGAGGCAAGTAGGACTGGAAACATGCAAAACAGCAGGTTTCATCTTAAGCTGCAGCAAGACATATGAGATAAACATGGGCGACTGGTGCCACCTTAGTCCGCGCGGGGTCGCATCTGGAGGGGCACGGGAGAATACTCTTAAGTGATCAGATGTCTTTGACATCTCACAGAAGTCCTAGGCAACAGTTATCAACAAGGATGCAGAGGTACAGCACGCACGCTGTAGCAGCTGGCACTGAAAGGCCACGATTGCCATGAAGGACTCATTGCTCAGAGCTGCTCACAGGCAAGAACTGGAGGGATGCAGAAAACTTGCTGCAGAGTGAGCAAGGCCATGGCAAACATAAGCAACACCTCTGAGAACCACGATCACAGCAGGAACGCATGAAGCTGCCACCACAACTGCCACCGCCAGGCCTCCCCGTCAGTAGGCTTGGCAGAGAGGCCACAAGCCTGAGTGGAAGAGGGAGAGGGAAGCTTGTCTGAGCCCTCACTTTCCTCTTCTGCTGGGCTGGGCTCCATGGGGGAGTTTCCTCTACTGCTGCACCTGCTGTTCCCATCGTATGGGCCACAGTCCTTCATGCCTTGACCTGACAGTCGGCTGCAGGAGACTGTGCAAGGCCAAGAGACAGGTCACGAACCAGGCCCCTCTAACCTAGCTTGGGATCCGACTGGCAGCAAAACCACCTGACTGCAGATTCTGAGAGACGCAGCCCAGCTGATACTCACCACAAACTTTTCGCCGTTCTGCTCCACGTGCTTGTAGGTGGGGATGGAGATGGGCACAGCCTGCTTCTCAGTGTAGTCGTAGAAGGACTGCCCCAGGGAGTCGTCGCTGGGGTCAAGGTTATCTGCCTCGTGCGGGGGCACAGACAGTACTGTCAGGATTAGTTCCTTCTCCCCTGCACGGATCAGGTCCACCACCTGCTTGTGTGTTGCCCCTTCTACATTTACACCATTCCTAGAAAGGGAAAAACATGAAAAGACCGTGAGCAAGGCAGACCTGTCTAGGGGGCCCCAAACCAGCCACTATTAGGTCAAAATCGCTCACTATCTGCTCCCTTTACAAGGCTGCTAGCACAGAACTCTGTTGTACCAGGCAGTTTTATAGCCATTCTCCTTTCAGTGGTTTACAACTGCCTGCAAATGACCCAATATCTAGTTAGATCTCAAATATAGGCTTCACACAAAAGTAAAAGGAGGATAAAGAACCCCCCCCGGGGAGTGGAAATGGTTTTGCTTTTATCTTAACGGAAAAAAAAAGAGTTTTCAATCTAAGCCTGTCCTGGCCTCCCTGAGAACCCAAGCGTCAGCCCATCATGTGTGGACGGCAGAGAACAAAGCAGAACAGGACTGACCAGGCTAGTTTCACCCCCAACCCTGAACAAAATACGAAAAGCCACAGGACTCGCTGATGGTAACAAAAAAACCCATTTGCTTTTATGGGAGGTTTTGGAAATTGGTAGAAGAACAATGTAGCAAAGTCTTCTTTAACCCAAACACGCTCCTTTTAAAATTTTCAAAGAACATTTTTATGAATGAGAAACGACTTTTTCATGCTCCCAGCAGACTCCCTGGTAAAACGAGGTGCTTCCATTCATGGGAAAGAAACAAAGAAGGCCGGAATGAAGAAAGAAAATGTTCAATGGCTAATGCCCCCTACCTCCGACGGGGGAAAGAACATCTGAACCTATGTGGCACCCAAATAATTCCCTAGATGAGGCAGAGCCATTATCAGCATAGGAAATTAGGGTTGGAAGGGACCTCAGGATCTAGTTTAACCCCCTCCTCAAAGCAGGACCAGCCCCAACTACATCATCCCAGCCAAGGCTTTGTCTAGCTGTGTCTTAAAAATCCCCAGGAGTGGAGAGTCCATCACCCCTCTGAGTAGCCTGTTCCACTGCTTTACTTCCCTTCTCATTAGAAAGATTTTTCTAGTATCTAACCTCAACTTCCCTTGCTGCATCTTGAGACCATTGCTCATTTTGGCATGAACACGCGAGTTATGATTCCCCTCTGCAGAGTGTGCACCAGGGAACGTCCCCCAGGTATCTCTGTATCTAGACCTGTATCTTTCAGCTGACCTGGAGTGAAGTGCTAGAGGAAGAAGGAAAATCCATGTAATCAAGCTTCAAACTCGGGACTATCCCAACTCTCAGAACACTACCTGCTACCGCTCTCCCATTAACTGCCCCCGGACAGATAGCCATGACTATGCCCAAGTGATAACGGTGTTGGCCATGGCTGATTAGCAATTTGCAAGGCACTTGCTTGAAAGCAAAATGAAATCCAGCCCAAAAGAGCTTTGGTGTTTTCTCTTTACAGTTCTGGGATGGGAGGAAAAAAGCACATTGTTTTCCTCCCTGATAAGGACTAAATTTAGTAGCAAGACTCCATAAACTTGGAACAGAGACCCTGTCAGGGTCTGGTATCTGAAACATCCCACAGCATGAACAGGAACAGTGGGTCCTCCCTGCTAATCATCTTGGACACACTAACCAAGGCTGAGATCTCAGGGGATCGGTCCTTCTTCGTCTTTCCCTCTGAAAGCGCACAGCCTTCTCACAGACGCACACAAGCAGGGAATGAGACAGCTCCAGGATGGGGGAGGTGGTAAGAATCTGATCTCCGGATCCCTGGTAACTATTCAGGTCAAGGGAGCGAGGAAATCAGACCCCCGTTCATTTTCCTGGCATATAAGAACTGCTCCATTCCAGGTCTCTGGCTGTAGGCACCACTTGATGGTGCAGAGCAACACAAAAGGAAAGCTGCAGGCACTTCCTCAGCAGCGGAAGAGAATTCCTTCCTAAATACATCCTCAAGCAACCCGGTCACTCCCACATCAAGCACGAGAATGGATTCCTGGTGCCCTGGCGTTAAAAACCCGGCGCTGGTCACACACTTTGCAGAGGCTGCCTTGAATGCAACCAGGGTATTTAGCTTTCTGTTTGCAATGTCTCCTGAGCTCTCAAATCAGAACCGGAAAGGACAGCTCTTAGCACATCATATCGATTCCTTTTTTATTGAACTTTTACTTATAAAGGATCCCCCTGGAAAGATCTGATCTCAGCTTACAAATCAAAGTGACAGATTCAGGGCTCTGAACCAAATCGGAGGCTGGTGGTAACAAGCATGGTTAGAGCTGGCGCCTCACTGAACTCTGGCTCAAACTTTGTCCCTTGTGGGTTCAAAAGTCACCCTCTTACCCAGGGCATAATCCCAGCTGATAAAGCTCCGCTCAGAGCTCCACGAAGATAAGTCACCTTGAAGGAGGAAAGCCAAGTACTCACACACCACCTTTGGGTCCTTCCCCAATAGGAGGGATGAGCAAAACCTCAGCAGTATTTTGTGCGTTGCAAAAAGATTTGTATCCTGCACATGTCAATGGTCGGGAAACCAGCCTGGATCCAGGTCTCGGGTCCGATTTCCTCCTCTGCCCAAGTCTGTGCAGGGATTGAGGGCAAGCTGCCCCATCTCAGCAGGTGTGGAGTGGAGAGAAAAAGCACCTCCCTGTCTCCTGGGGATGGCTGGTAGGACAACTACACGATGCATGCAGTGGCACTCGTATTCTAGCAACAGAGGCTGGAAGTACATAAGACAGCTCACCCTTCAAGCCTTTGGCACAGTCATTTCCTGCCACAGGGCTGCAGCACGTCGGCTACCTTTAAAGTTGCATTTTCAAAGAGCTGGTGCAGCCGCAATTACCAGCTTAACGAAGCTGCCAGTCACTGAAATTTAGTGCCGCATTCTGAAGCCGCTTTCACATTCGTTCCGTTTGGCTGGCGCTCACGTGCTCCGAGTTTATAGTCCATGGGAAAGCGTTTCCATTCATCCAGAATTAACCTGGGGTTGAGGCAGCCCAAAGCATTTGCTTCAGGGGAGAATAACAGCACCCGAGTGAATTTAGCACTGTTTGGCAGCAGAGACCGGAGCCCTCTGCTTTGCTGTATTAGGTACCGCACCGCACACCCCGGGACCTGCCATTTCTCACCTGTGCACTTCAGTCCTGACCTGAAGACAGAGTTAGACACCATAGCCCAACAGCCCCAGCATCTGCTAGTTTGTGGGCAGCAATGCTGAGCAAGGAACGGACTGGGAATACGAGACTCACTCTCCTCTCAGCATGAAGAAACATTTCCACTGAAAGCGGAGTCCTGTGGTCACCAGCAACACGCTGCCTGTAAGCCACAGGCTGGGGATCTCTGTGCCAGCCCGTTCGATCCTGGGCTTCCTGCCGAGACTGCTAACGACTGTCGGTCACGGGGGCTGCGGTGACGGGGATACTTGCTCATCAGGAACCACAATGAAACCCGCCAGATCTGTTCCACCAGGGCAGCAAAGACAGGGGGCATTTAGTTTGTTTCTAACCTGACGTGATCCAGTGCCTGGAAGAGCTTTCGTATGCCACTACCATGCTCTCCTTCCTGCCAGGGGATTGAGAGGGTTTTTCCACCCTCGTCTGCATCATGTTCACAAAATTCCTCTTGTCCTTCCAGCAGCACCGCCCTGTCCCAGAGGAGAACTCTTCATCCGAGATGGTGAAGAGCACAAAATCAAGTCACCTTTGCTTTCTGGCTGTCCGTGCCCACTCCAAGGCTGATCTTGTAATGGTTGCCGCCGGGCAAAGTTTGCTGCACGTATTCCAATCCCATTTGCAACTCTGCAGTACATCCCAGACCTGAAAATTAAACCCTGCAATCCCTCCTATAGTGACTCAACTGCAACGTCTCATTCCATTCTCCAAAAACAACAAAAACCAAAAAAAAACCCCAAAAAACCATGACTGCAGATCTCCCCCGTCACAAACAACATCCACCTGCAGGGGCCAAGATGAAACTCCAACACTACAATGGTGCTAGCCCTCAGCGGTAAGGGAACAGGCAGTGCTACGGTATCAGGGGCCAAAGGACTAGCACCTTTGCAATAAAAACCACCATAGCAACTCATCCACTACGAATTGAAGCAGAAAGGGAAGAGAAAAGGAAGCGACAGACAAATCCAAAGCCTCTAGCACACAGAGATGATGGTCAACAAGCGCAATGTTTGCTCACAATGGCATTGGTTGGTTCTGAAGAGCCTGAACATGCCATTTCTGAAGATAACTAGACACGAAGTCTTCAGGGCTTTTCTGCCTTCATTTAGATCATGTTCACAAAGTTTCTCTCGTCCTTCCAGGAGCCCTGCCCTGTCCCAGAGGAGAACTCTTCATCCGGGAGCTGCCCCAGACTGGCCCCTGTCCAGCCTGAGCTGGCTCATTGCAAAACCCAGGGCTGGACCAAGCCTTGCAGAGAAACCCTCAAACCAGAAGGGCAGTGAGACTTGCTACCAAGGGAGTGGAGCCAAGGTTATGAAGGTCCACCCACACCCTCCCGTCCAGGGAGAGCCACTGCAGTCCTGCTCCAACCAGGAGCTAGACAGTGCAGGCCTGAGGCTGGGGAAGCCAGGGCTCCATTTCCAACCTCTGCCATCATTTCAGGCCGTGGTCCTGAGCAGATCCCTGCCCCCCGGTGTCCAGTTTCCAGAGTGTAAGATGAAGACACAGGCCTGTCTCCCAGGACAGTTCAGGTTTGCACAGATCTTTGAAGACACCAGTAACGATTACAGGAGTGCGAAGCATGTGCTGAGGACTAGGACTCCTGTATCACCTTCAGGCTGCCCAAGAACCATACAGCAGTGAGTTACTGAATCCAGCTGGGGAGAGTCTTAACCAGCCCGTGCTCATGTAGGCCTCCTAGCAACAGTGAAAACGTCTTCCCCACTGGCTTATGGACAAGGTCAGTCAAATTTAGCATCCACAGTGGCTCCAAGCACCAAACAGCTTGGAAACAAAGGCTGTAACATGTCGTTGGCAGTTCCAGCGTGTCTGCACAGTCACAACATTGAGAGATGGCTGCGGTGCCCCTGGCACCCGGGGATTTACACAGCTACGAGTTCAAGGCAAGCACCGGGAATTAAGCTTCTGAAGAATTAGGTCAGGGAAACTGAGCAGAGGTTCCTGGTCTGCAGGGTTCCCTGATGGAGGACACCCCAGTGGATGAAATGCCCTGGTGATTTTTACAGCTTCCCCTCCCAGGTGCTGGAGGGCACTGCCCCAGGTTGGCTGGCCCTGCTGGAAGCAGCCTGCAAAGGATAGTTCAAATGGCTTTGCACGGAGCTATGCCTGAACCCACAGAAAAGCACTGTCCAGCACCCTGGTCACAAGTGCAGGCGCCATTTCTGTCAGCAGCTTCCCTGTCAAGCTCTTGGAAGCTTTCTGATAAAGCAAAATATCACTGCTTGAAAGGGGTTATTTTCCAAATTTAGGGTGCTCTTAGTTTTTTACCTTTGCTGTCCCCTCCAAAAGCCCTGAGGATTTCAGGCCAAGTCATCTCTTGGAGAGTGTCCGATATCCAGGAACAAGTAACTTTACAGGGGGAGAAACTGAAGGAAAAAACTTTGACTTCCCTCCTGGAGCACAACAGGCCGGTGAAGGGAGTGTAGCATGGAGAGCTGCTTTCTCACCCTCCCACCTCATCCCACAAGAGAGTTCACCCTGTTCACCCCACGAGAAACTCAAGTCCCCTCTACAGCTATGTCTAGGTGAGGATTACTTTGCTAGCACAGGGCTAGCGGTGTGACATAACAGACTTCTAGCACAGATATGACTATCCTAGTAAAGCCAAACTCACCCCAACAAAACACATGACACCCATGTCTACACGCAGGTGTCCTCCGCTACAGCAGCACTGGCTGGGATCACGCCCTGGCTGACAGCTATGCTGGCAAGAGTCTGTTTGATACGCATCCCGATTTCGCGTAGTTCGTCCCTGCCAGGCCACATCTCCTGATGCTTTGCTTCATTCAGCTGTGGACACTTGGTTGGTAACATCCTCAACTCTGGTGCTGCCCAACAGGGAGGATCCCCCCGACAAGTCCCTTACTATTCACCAACCAGTCACTCGCCTCTCTTGCTTCGCACACAACACACCAACCCAGGCTCCAGTTCCTCCCTGCAAGCAG